AAGGTAAATATGGTCAGGCTTTGGGAATTCTTTGACAGAAGTACTATAACCAACCAAAATAAAAGGTAAGAATTCATTATCTTGCTTACTACACAACTAAGTAATTAGCTTAGGTTCAACTAAGTAAGTATGAAACATGTTCACTGTTATATTCCATCGGAAGCTGTTAGGTTCAATATACGGCTTACACCTCCTCTTATACTTCTTGAACCTTTCTTTAGAGCAATAAAAGGTTAGTTTACGTTTCTACTTACTGAGCTGTTAAATTGAGTAATATATACAATCAAGAAGTGCATGTTATGTTTTATTTTTTGAAAATCAAAAATGAGAAAAGTAATGGTTTTTTGTTTGTTGATGATACACTAATTTAAAAGATGAAAACAAACTTTATGTACCAAACTTGATGAAATTATCATTGTTTGAGATAGTATAGTGAAGATTACCGCAGAACTTGCAACTGAAAGTCTAAGTTGTTCTTTCTTTAGCGTCCCAATTGCATTGAATCTGTTAACAAAATACAAAATCCTGTTTATACATATGTTTGACTATTACTTGGGGTTTTGCAAACCATAAAGCAAGTATGAAATGAAACAAAGGTAAACTAAACATACCTTTTTTGAAGAGCTTTTATGTTCTCAAGCTCTAGATAGAGACGGTATTGGTGTAAAGCGTGGAGAAATGCAATGGAAATGAGTCAGTATATATAGTGGTTTGACAGGTCTTAGGGTTTTGGGATAGAGCATATCAGAAATCTTGATCATCACGGTCTGGATATCTAAGAAAATATTGAAATCGGTATATACTGTTAACAAATAAGGATAATATCATTTTAGTTAGAAGAAGTCGACAAATATTGAAAGTGGAGAGAATACTGAATTGATATTCTTACCTTTTTTTAGGAAAGCTAAATGATTTATAAGTTACTCGTTTGCTTAAATAGAGGAAACGAATTAGATCCTGTAACTGTATGTTAAACCAAAATATTCTTAGTAATAAATGTTGATAAATACGGAATCAATCATAGCAATTGTTAGGATTTTTTTGTTTTGGAAAGTCGCATTAGTAGGGATCCGATATTCTAATCCGAAATTCTTGTTTTTTTTTTTGGAAAATATCATTATTAGGAAAGTCTAATAACTATCGGTGTAACGTTTAATGCGGGTCATTTACACATTGTTAGGATTTGGTAGATTAGGAATGTAACCAAGCGAATATTTAGTCGAATTACTTGATTTTTTTTTAGGAAAGTCTTATTTAAAAGGATCCGAGAGCTGTGATTGGCCAGTGAGTCGGGTCAAAAAATCTAATCGGGTCAAAATCTCACTAAATACCCGACCCGATTGGCTTTGAGCAAATTTGTACTTCAAAAATGTTAAGTAGATTGCCTTGATTATTCAATGATTCGATATTTTGGTCAATCTTAAAAAAGGAACACGAGGAACATATGGTTAACAGCTTAAACACTAATTGTTTATTCATCGACGTGTATTGCATTTTTTTGGTAGCTTTTCTTCTACGATATGTTATTCCTAAATCCTAACCACCTTATAATTTATATCATTTTCCTCTACAAGATAGCTATTTTAGCTAATCAAATCATCTATTCCACGATATGTCATTATGTTATCCCTAAATTCTAACCACCTTATATAATTTACATCATTTCCCACTACAACATATCTATATAGCCATTAGCGGACCCAGGATTTTTTTTCACCCAGGTCAAAGATAACTAAAATAAAAAATTTGATGGGCTAAATATATTTTTTTCTCATAACTATAGCTAAAATTTTGAAAAATGGGGAGGTCAGCTGCCACCCCTTTCATGAACGTAGGTCCGCCAGTAATATAGCCATTAGCCAATTATCATTTTCTTAAATGTTATTTTGTTATTTTCAGTGATTTTTTTTTCCTTTTCACAAAGAGTCCTGTTTTATATATTTTCACTTAATTGCATAATTAAGAAATTGTGAAGTCCTAGTTGGATAACAGTAATAAAAATTTTGGTGGGTGAATCTTCAATATGAATATTGAAAAACATTTTCCTAGTATGCCTCTATTCGGAACTAACTTTTGTATAAACAGGTTTAAATGTGAAATTTGTTTGAATGTTTATATACTTATAATTGATGGTATAGAAAATGAATTCAATTCTTTCAACTATAAGTTTCTTTTTCCGATCCACATAGAGTTGTTTTTTTTCCCAATAAAGATGGGATTTAAAGCCCTTCAGATTTACTAGCTAGTTTAGGTAAAGTGACTTAATAATGTCACTTGTCAAAGCCACCACCAGAAGTCTTTAACAAGAGCGCATCACAGTTTGATTGTTTTAAACATTCAAAATGTGCTTGCGGTTGTGGCAATTTGCGAAAACAAGTATTTGCGTTTATAAATGTTATTAGACAGCTTATGAGGCTGATGTAACGATCGGAAATAGATAAGTTTACGAATTTTTTTTGAATAATTGATAGCAGGTGCAATAATATTTATTACATATGTAATTGTTGTGGATGTTAAAAACTTAAAATCCCTTGTGGTGATTTTATTATTCTGGAAACTATAACCGAATTTAAAAAATCCAAAAATAAACAAAAAAAATTGAATGAAATTAAAAAAAAATCAAGAAAAGATAAGAATATGCCAATTTGGTCTTATTGACGTTGTGTTAACTGAATTACAAAAAGCAATGTCCAAGAAAGGGTTAAGCGGGCGGTGTCCCAACGCCTAACGTCTAGAACATCTAACCGGAGTCTAGGCGATTTTAGACGGTTTATGCATTTACAACATAAAACATTATAAATACGATTTTATAAAAAAAATTATGTAAAAATATATATTAGAAAAAGAAATAAATTAAATCGGAAAACAAAAATTAGGAAAATATATTTATTTCATTCATATCAAACAACATATGAATGTTTATAACTATTTATATGGAGGTAAAACTTATAAAATTAGGTATATGTAGATGAAAATTAGAAAAATACACGATAACAAAATTTGTGCTATTTTAGATGGTCGAAATAGTCATCTTATAAATTTAAGTATATGTAATTGCGACCGCCGACCGCTTTTTAGAACACTGCAAAAAAAAAGTAAAATATCGTAGCTAGAATTTATGGGAATTGGAAAGACAAGTGTTTCCATTTTTGGTTGTTGTACCTCTGTCCTTTACTCTTGTTTATGCATAACATTACCTAATTATTATAATAATAAAATTTTTAAATAAAAATTTGTCAATTAATAATAATTACATTTTAACTAGAGTAGGTAGATATTTAATTCTTTAGTGCGAGAAGTTTTGAAATTGCATTTTACATTTATGCTACTATAAAAATTAGTATAGTTTTTAAATGTTCCAAAATTCTTGTCATAAATATTTCCTACTGCCTTTAGCAATACGTTACAATGTTGACAAATAGTAAGATTATCATTTTTCCTTAAGAAAAGATATAATACCAAATGATGATGATTCCACGTATAGATGTCTATCTCAATGCGATACTATATTAATATAAATCCATTTCTTCCAATTTCTAACGATCATATTCGTATTATATTGACTTTTATATTTGGTCTGCATTGATTATATGTTCCCCATAAATAGTTAGCAAATCCGGCTCGGATATGTAGGTCCAATGCCTTTAGTATTATTTTATCCACCCAAATTTTCTTCAACCGTAAATAAATTGAATTCCACGTTTCCTTATAAAACCAAATCAAATTATCACTTTTACAACCACCCCATTTACATATCGATTTGAAAAAATTACGTAAATAACTTACGAATTTTCATGTTCTTGATTCTTGATTCTTTGTAGCTGGAAAATAATAAATAACTCAATGTGTTAGTTGAAAAAAAAGAAATAGAGAAAATTGTTGAATTCCAGTTTTTTTTTTTTTTTTTTTTTTTTGTAAAATGAAGTTGAATTTAGACATCTAGTTCGATTCTCCATTTGGGAAGGCTCTTTATCCATTTTTTTGTTTTATTTTTGGTAAAACGTTAAATTTTATATCATTTTTGATTTTTGACAGTATTATAGGGATTACATGAAAGGGATTAAAGCAATCTACAGAAAATAAATACAATACTACTCAAAATGCTTTGGATTGCTTCTAGGCGTTCAAGGCTAAGTTACGAGCTGAAACACTGATTTCGAACCCGCGAATCTCGGAAATTTGCGTTATCCATTTTAATTTAGATTCACGAAAAAATTTCGGTTTTAAACTTTACGTATTACCAAAAAAATAGAGAAAACACTGATTGTTGACACAAAACGGTGTAAGTTTTTCAGCGACTAACAAAAAAGACATTATCATAATAGTTAAAACTTAAAAATGATACAAAATAAAAGTAAAAGTGATACAAAACTGAAATGAACGTTTTTGGTATGTTTTTGAGATTAAAACTAATTGTTCAAGCCGTAATACTAATCAAAACCTATATTAAACCTATATTCGGATCCAATATTGTACTTAAGACATTGGAACTTGGGACGACCTCGATTAAACCCTAACAACTTGGAGAGATAAATATATTTAGAGGCTGTCAATTTTCTAAAATTTAATACAAAAATCGTAGTAAATATATTATTATTAATACCTAGTAAATGTACTGTCCACCTAACACTAAAAAAGTTTGGTGTATCGGTCAAAATTATATTCCAAAAAAAAACAAAAAAAAACAGGAAACCGATAAATCAAGTTTTCAAGAAGAAAAACCCAAACGCCAAATCAGCAAAAATCCCAAAAACGTCGTCGTTTAGTCCACGTAGACTTCACAAAGTCTACCTTTTTGACCGGTTATAACAGGTAAACTAAAATTCTCTTCTCTTTTACCAGTCCCGTTGAAACTCCGTTAACGTTCTCCGTTTCTCCGTTTCTCCGTCATTATAAATATCAGCTTCTTCACTCAATCTTTTTTTTTTCTTTTTTTTCCTTCTTCTTCCCTCTCTCTTACTCTCCTATAAATCTCTCCGTCTTCTCTCCTCTCATCTCACGTCGGAGATCATTTTCTCCTCCTCCACCGCCGCCGCTGCCGCCGCCGACGACGACTTTTTCAGTTACTCAACGCCGGAGGTTTTGATTCCTCTCTCTCTCAAAGAAACTCATTTCTGTTTCTTGTTTTTTAATTTCGATTTCGTTTGGTAGATTATAGATCTGGTTTTTTCTCCTCCGTGAATGATTTTTTCTGGTCTCTGTAGCTTATTATAAAGTTGACTCTGTTTCTGTTATAGATCTTGATCTGTTTCAGCTTCAAGCACAATTTTTATTCGAATAAAATTATATACAATGTGTTTATTTTCTTAAAATGAATTTATTTAGTATAAGTTAATTTCGCGTGTTCCAACAACACAAGAGTTTTTTTTTTTTTTAATTTTTTTGGATTAGCAGTTATAATTAATCTTTTTTGTTTTGAATAGATCTTGGTTTAGTGTGTAATGGAAGGATGTGGACTAAGAGCTGTGGGATCACACTGTTCTTTATCTGAGATGGATGATCTTGATTTGACTCGAGCTTTGGATAAACCAAGATTGAAGATTGAAAGGAAGAGATCGTTTGATGAGAGGTCGATGAGTGAATTATCGACTGGTTATAGTAGACATGACGGTATTCACGATTCGCCACGAGGTAGATCGGTGCTTGATACACCTCTTTCTTCTGCTAGAAACTCCTTTGAGCCTCATCCTATGATGGCTGAGGCTTGGGAGGCTTTGAGGAGGTCAATGGTTTTCTTTCGTGGTCAACCCGTTGGTACTCTTGCCGCGGTTGATAATACTACTGATGAGGTTTTGAACTATGATCAGGTAACTATCAAATCCGCAATTGTTTTGGATAAGTTTTATCTCAAAACGTTTCAAAATGTTTTGTGGTTGTTGTAGGTGTTTGTGAGGGATTTTGTGCCGAGTGCGTTGGCGTTTCTGATGAATGGAGAACCGGATATTGTGAAACACTTTTTGCTTAAGACACTTCAGCTTCAAGGTTGGGAGAAACGTGTGGACCGGTTCAAGTTAGGAGAAGGTGTGATGCCTGCAAGTTTCAAGGTGCTTCATGATCCTATTCGTGAAACGGATAACATTGTTGCGGATTTTGGTGAAAGCGCCATTGGACGTGTGGCTCCTGTAGATTCAGGGTTTTGGTGGATTATCCTTCTTCGTGCTTACACCAAATCTACTGGAGATTTGACTCTTTCGGAGACACCAGAGTGTCAAAAGGGAATGAAACTGATCCTGTCTTTGTGCTTAGCTGAAGGGTTTGACACGTTTCCTACGCTGCTTTGTGCTGATGGATGTTCCATGATTGATCGAAGAATGGTAACTAAAGGGATATTTGATCGAAACTGATTGTTGTTTTTTGTTTTGTTTGGCTATGTAAGTTGATTTCTTTTTGTCCTGAATTTTGAAGGGTGTTTATGGGTATCCAATTGAGATCCAAGCGTTGTTCTTTATGGCTCTGAGATCTGCCTTGTCGATGTTAAAGCCCGATGGAGATGGCAGAGAGTGCATTGAGAGGATCGTTAAGCGACTTCACGCCTTGAGCTTCCATATGCGCAATTACTTCTGGCTTGATCACCAGAACCTCAATGACATTTACAGGTATACTTATTTTCATTTGCTTTATATAATATGTAAACCCTCAAAAGATTACTATAACTCATACTACATTTGTTTTTAAAGGTTCAAGACTGAGGAATACTCGCACACGGCAGTGAACAAGTTCAATGTGATGCCTGATTCTATACCGGAGTGGGTTTTCGACTTCATGCCTCTCCGTGGTGGCTACTTTGTGGGAAACGTAGGACCTGCCCATATGGATTTCCGGTGGTTCGCACTCGGCAATTGTGTCTCCATACTCTCCTCATTGGCCACTCCAGATCAATCCATGGCCATTATGGACCTCCTTGAGCACCGGTGGGCGGAGCTTGTAGGTGAGATGCCTCTCAAGATTTGTTATCCATGCCTCGAGGGCCACGAGTGGCGCATAGTCACTGGCTGTGACCCCAAGAACACACGGTGGAGCTACCACAACGGTGGATCTTGGCCAGGTCTATTTTCTTTCCCTGGAGACTCATTGCATAATACATTTCTTATCTCGCTTAACTGAGATTTTCGCTAGGCCTAGGCATTCGGTGTTTTGGGTTTTATATTTGTTGTAGACTGGCATAGGAACAGAAATATACATTTAAAATAAATTTTGATAGATTTTAGTAACTTTAGTAAATTTTTGTTTATTGGATTTGATTGGTAGCCACTGGTTTTTTAGCTATACTTTTGTTTTGGTTTGAATTATTTATATGAACGTATAATTATCAGTCAGTTTTACATAACATTTGTTCGATTTTGATTTCAGTTTTGTTTCGAGGAATTTTAGATTGGTTCAACTTTTAAATCTTATGACCGCATTTCTTTCTGATACATACATTTGTGGCAAGCTTTGATATATTTTGTTTTGAAATGTTGGATAGATTATATAAAGAACATGTAGTGAAAAATTTGTCGATAAAATCGAATAGAGATTCTGACCGCCTTTTTGTTTCTCTGCTCAATGTACAGTTTTGCTGTGGCAGCTAACAGCAGCGTGCATTAAGACAGGGAGACCGCAGATTGCAAGACGTGCGGTTGACCTCATAGAATCGCGTCTTCACAGAGACTGTTGGCCAGAGTATTACGACGGTAAGCTCGGAAGGTACGTTGGAAAACAGGCAAGGAAATACCAGACTTGGTCAATCGCAGGTTACTTAGTGGCAAAAATGTTGCTAGAAGATCCTTCACACATTGGTATGATCTCTCTGGAAGAAGACAAACTCATGAAACCAGTCATCAAGCGATCTGCATCATGGCCACAACTCTGAAAACCGCTTTCGGTTTTTGTTCCGGTTCTATATTTGCCACGATATGATTTTTTGTTGTTGTTTGTATGATAATGTTATTGAAAACTTGTGCGGGGACATAGACTTTTATTGATTGCTTTCTTTCTTGCTTTGCAAGTAAGAAAAATGAAATGGGAAAAGCTCGTTTACCGTTTTTTATGAAACATTACACACTTTGTCGCTATTGCATTTGACAAGTGTGGCTTTTTAAGTTGTGGCAAGCGGAATATCTTTCAATTCGTTGAATGACCGATTTTTATTGCCCTATTGGTGTAATAGGCGATAGTTTTCTAACTAGTCCATTTTGCTGTGTTGTTTTACATTCCTAATTAAACCCTAAACGGCTAAACGTATATTAAAATTTTAAAAAGAGTAGATTTAAATTAGTTCTAATTATGAAAATATATTATTAAATTTTTTAAGTATCTTTAAACACTTAATAAAATTTTAAAAATTTAAAATTCCTTTAAAACCCCTTTATAGATTGTGGAAATTTCTTAAGTAGTCTTCAAAGTTTTTTTGGTTTGCTGTTACTTGTGCACCCGCTGAGTCATCTGACACACTACCAACTATGCATGATAGTAGATCTGATCATATACCACTCAACTGATTTATATATATAGTCAATTCTTAGAAAATGTACATTATAGTAAAGACTCTTTACTATAACTAGGTGAAAATCCGGGCTACGTCCGGGTATATATAGGTCTTGAATGGTTACTAGTTTTTAAGTGGTTTCTGGTTTTTGTTTATGGAAAAATCCATTTTTTCACCATTCAAGATTTTAAAAATTTAGATTCCCTAAAATTTAGGAAAACTAGTTTTTGAGTGGTTTCTCCAAATTTCAAAGAGAAACTAAAAACCACAATTTTGAGGATTTTGGGGAAAATTTTAGTTTTCAACGTAATCATGTTTCTTTTTTTGATTTTTTGATTTTTTTAAATTAACTTTTATATTTATAACAAAAAACCAAAAACCAAAATTTTAAAAACCAAAATCCAAAAACCAAAATCTAAAAATCAAAAACCACTTAAAAACTAGTAAACATTCAGGGCCATAATGTTAAAAAGAAATCTTATAAGATCGTTGGAGTTTATTATATAATCCATATGAAAATGTGACATTATATTACTTTGGTAAATTTTGGTGTGCAAATCGACATTCACACCATAAACAACAATATTGATGAGTTTTATCTGGTAAAAGAATGGTGTTGCACAACAAACTCACAAGTCACAAGATTACTAATGATAAGGAGTTAAAAACAGATATTCAATGTTAAAATATAAACTCTGAAGAGACAGCATCAATTTGAAATAAAGATTAAGTGTTTTGTCCACAAATGACAATTAAAACGATTTTAAACATTGAAACTAACCCTTTTAGCGATTGAGAATTGGTCGAACTTCATATTCCCACGGAACGACATGCTCAAATCTGGTAGAAAAAGTTCAATCTTCACTTCACTTACCATCTAGACATCTGCATACATATTAAAGAATCCTTATGACGACTCAATTTCTTAGTCACTAAAAGATGGCCAACGGTTAACCAAGGCAACAATGGGGATTATTTTAAAAATCGGACATGAAATGATTTCTCGATCTTGCCCCATTTACATGTATAAAAACAGAAAGAGACATTGAGGAATTAACGAGGACGGCAAAAATCTGGTAATCAATATCAAGGTGGCCTCTTCCACACCCTTCTCTGTTGGTGACACCTGAACAGATTTTACTCTCCATAGCTAATCAATATCAAAGGTGCTTTTTTAAAACTGGTAAAAACAAAAAAATACATATAAAAAAACATCATTTACTTTAGGCTATTAAACCAACATAACCTTGGAGATCATATGATTTAGTTATCATAGGCTTCTCATGTTTATATATTCCACTAACGCTTGCATCAGAAAAGGTGTCTCCATTGTGACCAATGGATCTGTTTACAAAAGGGAAGATTATCACAAAACTCCTAAAATTACAGGTACAACAACGTAACATCATATGGAGCAAGCTATTATGAAAAACAGAAGAGAAGAAAAATAAATTACAGAGAAGTAATGATTGTTACCTTAAGGAAACAACACCAAATATGAAACTGTACCAGAATAATCTAGTCATAATTCTCTTTGCTTTTTCTAAAATGTGACTTCATCAGTGAATTAAATAGAAATTAAAAGTGACTGGAAAAAAGGGAAGGAGCTTACCTTCAAGAGCCCATGGATTGTGAGCATAGAATTTAGATAAGCATATAAAGAGCAAATAGAAAGAGAGAGAGTAATACTTCCTGGTTTTCCAGTACATGGACGAAGAAAGTAAATTCAAACACACAATATTTAGGATATATGAGGTCTACTACAAATATTTAAAACATATGAGGTTACAAAGAGATTGAACAGAACTTCTTATAAATGTAGCTTTCATAATATGAGCTAATTAAGCTTATGCGTAAGAAAATTTGTTTGTGTGTTGTTTAAAATATAACATACCTCATGAACCTTCACTACAGCTTTATCCACTACTAGTATTACGACCCGTGCTATAGCACGGACATAGTTTTGTATAAGAAATAGAAGATTCTATGATCTTGCATAAGAAATAGAAGATTCTATGAGAAACAGAACAAACTAATAAAGAGAAAACAAAGAAATAATATGATACCAACATAAAATTGTGAATAACAAAAATTTAAATATAGACATTTTAACTAAAAAGAATCATTGTTGTATTACCTCAAGAGGAATTTGTCTGCGTTTCTTGACTAATCGAACGCAAGAAGAAGTTTGAGTATTTATAGAATTATAGTTAATGGACCTGGTCAGTTTACATAGATAGTGGGGGAGTTAAAAAAAGATCATGGAAATATTTTTTTTTATGATCGTGTGGGAGTTATATTTGGAATATTTTTTTCTCTATTTAAAGATTTATTTACGTGTTTACTATATGCAATTTTTTCGAGATTTTCTAGTTGTCAACTTCTCGTAATTATGGGGCCGATTGGTAACGACTTTTATTTTTGGCTGTAGAGACTTTGGCTTTAAGAACTTTGGCTGTAAAAACTTTTGCTGTAAAGACTTTGACTTTAAAGACTTTCGCAGTAAAAATTTTGGCTGTTGAGGCTTTGAAACCAATTAATAAAAATTGCGAGTTTAAAAATTATAACTTTTAAATAATACAAATGATGAGATGATGACATGTATGATACAATAAAAATTTTATATCTAGTAAAAAAATCGTTGTTATTGTTATTGATACAATTGATTAGCCCTGAGACGGATCCGGATCCGGATCCGCCGAATCTACACTTTTACTATCCGGATCCGGATCCGAAACTCCCGGATATCCGGGATCCGGGTATCCGTAAGAAAAACCGGATATCCGCGGATATCCGGATCCGATCCCAATTACATCTAAAATTCAGCCACCGTCACGGCATGTCGTCCAAGCTCTGCCGCAGTCAGCCAGCTCCGCCGCAGTCTAAAGCCACACGATCTCTGGATCTTCACGAGCTCAACCACAAAATCTATTAACCACACCATAGATCCATCACGTTTCCTTCATAGATCTGTTAGAAATAAATCCATCTTCATGGAAATCTTCCCGATATCACACCAATTCCGTCGATTCGTCACCGGAATCACACACAACGAATGACACATGCACTTCCTCCTCCGTCGTAGAGACGAATCAAACACCAACAAGGTCTTTTGGGATTAATCGGAGATGAAAAATGAACAAGCGTTGATTTGGGATGAAGGATTGGAGAGGTATGAAAAGGTTTTTCTCGTGAGTTAGAGAGAGACTAAAGTTTTATTGGGCTTTTTGGTTTTATGATTCATTATTGGGCTTATCATGTAAATATATTTGGGCTTGCTTTAATGGGTTTGATGACAAAACTTAAGTATTATATAAACTTATAACCGGATCCGGATATCCGGTTCTCAATATTCTTATTATCCGGATCCGGATCCGGATCCGGCCGGATCCGTAAATTCATTATCCGGATCCGGATCCGCCCACACCGGATATCCTGTTTTCGGAGCGGATCAGAGCGGATCCCGGATCGGATCCCGGATCGGATCCCGGATCCCGGATAATAAGTCCCAGGCCTACAATTGATGATGGTTTCTGAAAATCAGTAAATCTCACCAAAAATTATGAAAAATGGATCTTAAAAGAATCAGAAAAAAAAATTAGTATTAGTTAGTCCAATATTTATTTGTAATAATCTACATATAGATTAAAAAAGAGTTTTTAATGTTAATAGAGTTAAGAATAATAATAGAATGAAAAGAAGAAAAATAATTTAATTTAATTTTAACAAAAAAGTTCTCACAGCCTCGTTTACATGGCTTTTAGAAATGTAGAAGTTTAAAGAGGAAAAAAATAAAAGTGGACGGTTAAGACTTTAGAGAAAAAATAGGAAGTAAAAGCCTGATTGGAAAATTTTAGACTTTAATGACTTTAGAAAAAAATAACAGTTCTCAGAGCCTCTACCAATCACCCCCTATGTTAAGTTGTGCCATATAATTGACAGTTACTTTTGTTAAATCGTGCAATTTGATTTTTTAGTTTTGTAGAATACAAAGGAACATGTTTTTTTTCTTTCCTTTTTTTTTGCCTTTTAGCATTGAACGTGTCTTTTTTTAATAAAAAATATATTAATTAATTAGAATTTGATGACATGTCACATTTTTAGTGGTCAGGTGACTTGTGATTTATAATATAAAGGATATCCTTGGCGTACTTCTAAGTTCTCTTTATCTTGTCATCTCCTTTAACTGATTTGGTGTACTTTTATTACTCATGTACTCTCATTGCAACCGCTAAACAGAAATTACTAAAAAATAAAATTTCAGAGAATGAATAAAGAATAAAATCAATAAGCAAAAGTAAGAGACGAAGATATTACCGGAAAGGAAAAGAGTGTGAGCTCTTCCTCAAGAGACGGCTCTGATGAAGGCAACATAAACGGCAAGTTTCCATTCAAAACTCCAACTTTTGAAACCCTAATCTACCATGATCTCTGTTTGCCCACATCGTTAGAAAGCGTTTCTGCTCTCCTTTGACAACGAACTTCTAAATGACACATTAATCGAACTCAATTTCAACAATAAACTCACTCGATTTATTCGAT